ACGTGGCGCCGATGCGGCGACGACGATGCGAGAACAATGGCGATGCGGCGGGCCCAGCAACGGCGAGCGCGCGACAAGCGACGGTGGGCGACGGCAAGTGAGCGACGGAGGGTGGGCAGCGGGCGAGCGACTCGACGACGCACGACGACGCACGGCGACGCCAGAGGGCAAGCCAGCGACAGCGGCGACGGTTCGAGTCCCCAGAGCCGAAGTGTTATCTGCAGAGCCGTGTTTACCTCAAATGTTACCCTAAATGTTACCTTCGGAGCCGTTACCCCAATCTTAGCTTACAGCCATGTTACCCCAAGAGTCAATCCAAATGCCGGCCCGGCGACGATGCAGCGACGACCGAAGGGTGGTGACACGGCGACGCGAGGGCATGACGGTGCGGCGATAACGATGCGGAGACGACGCGGCGACGACGACACGACGACGTAGCGACGACGACGACGACGACGACGACGACGACGAGGTACGCGCGATTCGCACGAAAGCACTTTGACTTGGGTTGCTTCTTGGTGCATCTGGAAATTAAGCCCGGTCAAATTGGCCAAAAAACAAACTTTCGGCAAAAACGTGCGGCAAGAGTCTCGAAGTCCACAAAGTCAAAAACAGATGCTTAAAAGAAAGGAGCCAGAGAATTTTTTTTGGCCGCAACATTGCGACCATGGGAACATTGTGCTGGCAATCTGCTGTGAAGCCCATCGCGTGATCGCAAAGAGTGGTTGATGCAAGCGGAATTTTTGGCCGATGTCTCTTGCTGGCGGATCGCTGCTGGACTTGTCATGCCCGGCTGGGTCCGAAAGCAAAATAATTTATCTGGCAGGTGTAGTCTCAGACTCCGAAGATTTTGGAGTATCCAGAAGGCAAGCCCGCCCACGAGCAAACCCCACAACCTGCAACTCCACAATCTTGCAACCCATTCGGACAATTTTCAATCGGTGAAACGTGCTGCGACCAACAGGCTAATTACCCGACCCCTATCAACAATCCTCCCTCAGATGCTCCGCTTCCAGATTTCAGAGTCGCGCAATGGCAAGCACATCGCCCCGTCCCGGAAAGCATGGGTCGGCAATGGCACATAGCGGCACATCATGGCATAATGAAGACATGACATGCAAAAGTAAACGTGCAAAGCGGCAACAAGGCTCGCCGGCCTTTGAAGTCCCAGAGAAGCAGAGGAGAGCAGAGCATAGGATGCCGTCCAAGTGAAGAAACACACGAGAGGCAGCCGAAATGAGCCAGATAGAGCGACAAGCCTGCTGACGCCAGCGCATCCGCACCGACTGGAGAGAACCAGACCACGAGTGTTCTCTGCCAGAAGTGCTTCGCGTCAAATCGCGCACAGAACGTCGCAGTTGTTTGTTTAAACCAGAATTTCAAAAAAAGGTCAAGAACTCGAAGAAGTCTGGATCGAAGCTGCATTGTAAACTGTCAAAATCAGCACTTAATCTTGCCACTGGGCGCCTTACGCTGCGGCATTGGCAAGTTTCCAGGTGTCCAGCAACAATGCAAACACTTTGTACTGTGATGCGGAAGAAGCTGCATGAGGCAAGCAAATGAAGCCGAAGCTTTTCTTGAGGAAACATTTACAAACATTGACGGTGATATCCACACTCCCAGCCCGAACCCAGTGGTTGTGTTTGCTCATTTTCCACCACCGAAAAAATGCAGAAGTTTGTGTGCAAAAGCGACAATACCAACATGCAGCGGCACAAGCTTTTATCACTTTCAAGCCCGTCAAAGGGATTTGTTGTGCGTGCTTTGTTCTTGTGTGGAGACGTATGGGACTGCAGAAAGTAAATGGAAGTTGAAGAAACAAATGTGACTTTGCGCAAATTAAATTTGTTTTGTGTGTTCAAGTCTGCTCTAAGTGCTGTTCTGCCACAGGCCAAGACAAAAAAAAGAAGAATTGCCAAGAACCCAACGGTTTGGCATAGTTGTTGGAAGGACGATGTCTCAAAGCCAGATTCGCACAGCTCCAGAACCATCCAACATGGAAGCGGGCTTTCGCTGTTTGCGGCATGTTGAAGTGGAGGTTCTGGCTGAGGTGCGGTCGACGCTTTGCCCGTTTTGAGGTGGACCCGAATGTGGGCTGTCAACCTTGCTAGGCTTTCCGGGGGATTGCGGAGCTGTTTTGGACCTGTTCTGATCTATTGTGAGCTGCGATGCCGTGACGATAGGACTGCGGGTGAAGGACCCACGTTTTTGCGATTGCGCAAGAACTTTAAAATGTTGTGCGGTTTTCACGCAAATCAAAATTTGAATCTCCGCCCCAGAAACTTCCGGGCGTGTCTTTTACTTGCCAGGTGCGCAACGAACTTCTCTGTGCTTGGCCGGATTGCGGAGCTGTTTTGGATCTGTTCTGATCTGTTGTGAGCTGCGGTGCGGTGACGATGTGAGGATTGCGGGTGAAGGACCCACGTGAGAAAACGTGTGAGGGTTCCGGTGAGGATAGAAGTGGGGGGAAAGGATTCGGTGATAATCTAGAAGCGGGGAGACGACGAGGCGACGAGTGCGTGTGTGTGTGTGTGAGAATTGCAGGGAGAACCAGGGGTGGTGAAAGGACGGGTGAGGATGCGGGTGAGAATGCCGGTGAGGATGGTGAACACCAGTGAGGGCCACAGAACAGCCACAAACGGCAGGCATAGACTTGAGTGAGCAACACCAGCAACTTTCTTGTCATTTGTTTCCAAGCGTTGTTTTGGACAGACGCAATGCAGAAGCTGTAAGCTGGACTCGTCAGTGAAAAGACCTTTTGGAGGCTCCGTGTTGGAAACCTAAATTGCAAGGACCTGGCCTTGCATGGAAGACCACAATCTACAAGCTATTGTGACCATAAGAAATCTTTCCAGTTTGTTTTGTTCGATTTCAGCAGAAAAATGGTTGCTGTCATTCCAAGCTCAGCTGCGCTGTTGGATGGAGCTGCGTAAGATTTGTCCGCATTTGTCACTCCACCGAAATGCGATTCTGGCATTGAACAGCAGTCCGTGAAGAACTTGGGAAGACCAGGTCCTTTCTGGAGACGCATCGTTGTTGTTTCGGTTTGATTTGAGTGTCTTGGGTCTCCACAGATTTCCTTGCAGTCTTCAAATTGAAGATTTTCTGCTTTCTCTGTCGGTCTTCGCAACAGGTTGCACAACTTTTCAGCTTTCTGGCAGGCATGCTCGTGTCGGATGTGTAAAGAAACAACAAGGTTTTGAGTCAAATCCGGCATCAAGAGCAGGAGAACACGGTTCAGGGAAGCGCATACAAAGCCATCGGGTAGATGCTTTGTGCTGTCACACCAGTCTCAAGTTGTGTTGGTTCCAGGCCGTCCAGCGCTCTTCCATGGCATGTCCACGAGTAGCTCAGTAGGCATTGTGGCAGCAAGTGCGAAAAGTGGAGCGGAATCATGATGTTGTCTCATGTTGTCTCTTCTATCACTTGCACCAACTTGTGCCACCGGTATGCTGCAGAGTGTCACAGGTGCAGAAAACGAAACAGTTTCTCATAATATGCATCATACAAATCTGTTCATGTACACACATACGTACATAGATACATATGTACTTATTTTTTCTGCATATACTGTGTATATGTATATATGTGTACATGTGTATATGTGTATCTGTGTAAAGGTATGTGAGATCAAAAAGCTGTGTATATGTGCGTGTGTATATATGTACATATGTATGTAGATATATATGTGCATATGCACATGCATGTCTCTCTCTCTCTCTCTATATATATATATGTAGATACACACACACACACACATACACACACACACACACACATGCACAAATTGCTAACACATAGACAGCTTATCTCCAATCGCAAGCTGCGGCTGGCACAGTATCAGGGTGGTTCATGCAGAAGCAGTTTGAAGACGGCATCCTTCCATTGGTAGAGGTTGGATTACAATTTGCTTTCCATGCCTCAAAGTTCCTTGTTTTTGAGGGAAAAAGCACAACCCCACAATTGTGCATCTCCAAATCGAGAAGAATCACTTCAACCAATGCCGGCCCGCTGGCTTTTTACACCGATGTCAGGGTCTTCCATTCATTGACTTCCGTTCGGATCCGATCCCGCCTTTGCTGGGATCCCTTCAGAATGTCCTTAGTTGCTTATACGCACAAGCCTGTCATGTTAGATCCTTCACGTTTCCCGAGTTTGCTGTTGCAACTTATAGGGCTTTGGAGCCCTCCGGTGAAGCCTCGCCATGGTGGAACGACTGCCGTCCTTGAAGTATGTGGCCCGACCAACACTTCCAAAGGTGGCATTTGAGTTGTTTTGAGTTTTGCATGCCCACTTGTTGCTACCATTGGTGAAGCATTGCTTCGTCGTGTCATCTCAGAACAATGAGGTCAAGTTTGGGACCAGTGCGACTTGGAGAAGCAAAGCAGGCAGAGAAGGGCCATTCGTGAATCATTCGCGTGAACTTCTTGACACGGTTTAAGACTATCGCGCAGGGCCTTTCAGTTCGATCTTGCTAGTGGCTTTAGCACTCTATGGCATTCGAAGTGGGATTCTAGACCCGCAGACCCTAAACCTTGGAACTCGACCTAGACCATGACCGCAATCCTCAGCTTTCAATGATGCGGTAGTTGGTTGCCGGCTGGACGCTTCTTCCTTGTGTCGGGCTCCGGATTTTGGGTTCCAAGCTGGGGTTAAATGCAGCGAAGTTGCTGAAGTCGAGTCCCGCACCTCGAAAGCTCTGTCTTCAGTGCATTCTGCACCCTTTCCTCTGGCCTCGCAATGCCCAGGACATGATGGTGTCTGAAGTCTGTGGCGGCACCATGATGTGGGGCACGTTCAACCAAGAGGCCGCTTGCGCCGGATTCGGGAAGGAATGCAAGTTCTCGCACGAGCTCACGAGGGAGTTCTGCCAGCTTCGGGGCTTCAAGTGCTCGTGCAAGCTCTTGTGCACCACTCCAGCGTTGCACCGCTGACAGCGCTGCCGCTGGACCTGTGCCGTTGCTGGCCGTCTTGCTCTGTTCGTGTACGGATCTTTTTCGGATCGTCGTGCCATTTTCCTTCATTCTTCCTCCTCTTCTCATCGGCTCTGGGGTGGACAAGCTGGGCTCTCGGACGGTTTTTTCAGATCTCCCCCGAGCAAGGCCCCCTGAGCTCTTAAGTGTGGTAGCACGACCTGAATCCAAGACAGCAAAAAACCCATGTCAAAATTCCGAGGAGAAGATGGCTCACGAGCAGCTCGATGCCATGGCACCTCGACTTTGGCTATAAAAAGTTGGCTTCTGGCATGTCTTCACTGTTTGAAAGGCCTCTTAAAACGGGACCGGAACCCTCGTAAGCTTGAAAGCACTCCCCACTGCCAGAGGCAGGCTCCACCTTGGTTGTTTGTGGCTTCCAGGATTGCTACAAAGGTTCCATAGGGGGTTGGGGGTTGCTTTCAAGGTCACTTTCAGGGTTCCACCAAGGGTTCCAGAAGGGTTGCACATCTTTGTGTGTCTGTTTTTGAGAATGGCAGTTTCCTCAGGTTCGCTTGGGGGTGAACTTCATCGACACCGCGGAGCTGCACCCTGATGTCCAGAAAGTCTCCATGCATTGTGCTCGTAGGGGCGAGGGAAAGCAACATGCATGGCGTGAGAAGTAGCAGCAGTAGTAGGCGTCGTCGTCGTAGTAGGTAGCCAGGAAGTCGTGCTGGTGTTGGTGGTGGTGAGGAGGAGTAGTGGTGGTGGTGGTGGTAGTGGTGGAAGAAGTAGTAGTAGTAGTAGTAGTAGTAGTAGTAGTAGTAGTAGTAGTAGTAGTATAGTAGTAGTAGTAGTAGTAGTAGTAGTAGTAGTAGTAGTAGTAGTAGTAGTATGAGCAGCAGCAGCAGCTGGAGGAGGATTAGTAGTAGTAGCAGCAGCAGAAGCAGCAGAAATAAATGATCAAGAAGAATGATGATAATAGCAATCATACTAGGCGGAGCAGCAGTAGCGGCAGCAGAGCAGCAGTTGTAGCTGTAGCCATAGCAGTAGCAACATATGCAAGAGACGGCGGGGAGCAGCAGGAGTGGCAGTGGCAGCAGCAGGAGGGTGCGGAGCAGGAGTCGGAGTAGGAGGACTAAGATGAAGCATGTACAAAGCAGAAGAAGCTGATAAACGCCGACACCACCGAGAAGCCAACAAGCCACCATCCTCAGGTATCCGGTGCCCCCGGTAGAGGGAAAGCTGACGGAGGAATGGATCGGCAACTGGTTGGAGAAGGCGATCGCTAACGGCACTGTGAAGCGAGAAAAGCCGCTTGGGCCAGAAACCCTACTCCACGGTTGCTACACTACTCCACGGTTTCTACGCCTTGGAACTCTATACAATTCCGCACCCAGACAGCTCATCATCAGCTCCTCATTGCGCTTTCTTTCCCGTGGTCTGTTGGAATTTCCGCACTACGAAACTTCACAGGCTGCCAAGCAAAGGATTATTTTTTTCTATGATCCGCCGGCACCTTAGCCGACACAATGGAAATCCCGGATCTCAGACCGTCAAAGTTGTTATTATAGCTATCAGTATCTTCATCGTCGTGCGCCTCAGGTTCTACATCGCCACCAAGGCGAACCTTGGTTCCAGAAGGGAGGCCGAGAGTTCCGGGCTCTGAGCTGGTGATGAACACCAGGGGCTGGGGTTCGAGGTACCAAAGCTGCAGGGATTACGATCCAGTCGTGTCGGAGCAGGGTCCGCAGTCCGGCGGCCGGTGGGTCTGGCCGCGCCCCGGATCTAAGGAATCCGTCCAACGTCGGCGCGCCAGATCTTGAAGGTGGGGCTCGCACAGACCGCGAAGTTTGCTGGCCTTTGGATGGTTGGGCCCCAACAGTAGCAGTGTAACAGAAGGTATCTCATCTCAGGTTTTCCTCCATATGTTGGAGCGGGATAGGGCAAAACGTCTTGTTCTGCATTCTTGCTGCTAGTGATGCTTGAACCACGACGATAGGAAAGACCGCTTGATGACGATGAAAATGACAATGATGACGAAGATGCTGACAGTCACTTCTATCAACTTCCATCCTTCAATCTTGTCATTCCGAGCTATGATTACGATTCTGATTGTCACTGTTGCGCTCCGGGACTCAATTCACTTTGTAAGGACTTTTCTTCTTTGTAGCCTCCAACCCCTGAAAACTGTTAATGCTCTTTCTTGAGAACTGCGCTCGACTGGGAATCCGTTCGGCCGCATCTGCGCCCTAAAACCATCCTGAAAGATTCCCTCAGGCTTCCCACGCCCAGTCCTCAACCCATGCTTGAAACCCTGAACCCTAAGATTCCCTAATCTCTACACTAATCCTTGGAACTTAAAGTTACTGAAGTCTCACTATTGTTAGTAGAGCCCATTTGATCAGCCATCTCAAAGAGCCCCACAACCCCCAAAGCCCTGCATCCTAAACCCGAAGCGGCCCTAAACTGTCGAGAGCCCCTCCTGAGCCTGTCAGGCCGAAAGAAGCCTTGGGGCTTTGATGCGGAGTCGCTGATGGCCTCCTGCAAGGCCGTTCTGAGGGTTCTAGGCCTTGGGTACTTGGGGATGCTATGAACGTTACCATGAGGGTCAAGGGTTACTAAAAGTTTGCGGCTTGGGGCGTTCGGCTCTGTAGGGGTGCAGGATTCAGGAGTCTACACTAACCACTAACCTTTTCTTGTTGATGTTATGCTTTTTGGTTTGTTCGGGGCTCCAAGGGTCGGTGGCATGCTTTTACGGTCTAGCTTGAAGTGTTTTGCGGTTGCGGCGTGGTTTGAGATGTCGGGTTCACAGTCCGGGGCAGGCTGTTTGGGTATGCAATTAAAGCCCCTGGTTCAGTAACAGTGCGAAACTCAGGCAGGGCATTTTCAGCTTCAGAAGGGAGCATCCAAGACTGGGCAGGCAAATCTGCGTCGTGCGCATGAAAATGGCCGCAGGAAAGGAAGGTTAGCAATCACAAAGAATTACGGGGAGGATAGAGTCGGATAGAGAGCTCTATGCAGCTCCCCAAGAATCTTTTCGGGCCACCTCGCCGCTCCAGGCGTCGCTTGGAAGGATGCGGTGTCAGTACATCGACCTTTACTACTTGCACCTTGGCGTTTTTCCCCGCCTCCTGGCGAAGAGCTCTGAGCTGGTGTGCCCTGTGAGGCATTGGCCCACCCGGGATACCCCGATCTTCGGCTGTGCCTCCTTCTTCTCGGGAGGTGGGGGCAAAGGGCTCTGCAGGAGCTCCTTTCTTGGGGCTTGCTGGGGTTTGAGCGTGATTGCTTCTGCGAGCTCCAGACCGGGCTTCCTGCTTGGAGGGCTTGTTGGGGAGGCGGCAGTGCGGCAGAAGGTGTCGTCGTGGCTCCAAAAAGGGCAACTGCTCCCTGCTTGAGAATAGCTCGACACAGGGTTGCCTCAAAGGCTTTTACTGGAGTACTGTGACCTCGCTCTGAACCATGCACTTTAAAGGGAACTCTCCGCCTAGTCCTCGCATCCGAGACTGCGAGGCAAGGAGCGGCCAATGCCTCACTTTGACAAGGGCAGCTTGGCTCGCAAGGCCGCTAGTGATGAATACTCTGGTACGGGTGGTAGGGGGCGGCGGCATAGTCGGCAGAAGTAGTGGTGGCAATGGTCCGGCAATGGTACTGGGCGTAGCAGACAGCCGTCGTTAGAGCTACTGACATGTGGTGGTGATCGTAGTCGTCGGAGTCGTCGTCGTACTAGCAGTGGCAGTAGGTGGCCGTGAAAGAATGATCAGCCGATCTGTCAACACTAATGACAACGTCAGGGTGGCTAGGGAAGAACTTGGCACTTCAGGATTGGACCATGGCAAAACATGGGCAACGCCATAGATTGAGGTGACGAAGATTTCGGACATACGGAGAATTTACGATGGTCAAAGCAAAGAAAGGTAGCATGAATAATGCTATTCACACTCGTCTCACGAAGAGTTAGGCAGCAAAACTTGTGGCAATGCAGTATTAGCAACGGCAGAATGTCAGCAGCAGTCATGGAAGTGATATGGAGTTCGCAAAGATATCAATGGTATCTGACGACTTCGACTGGCAATGTGAGGAAGTGGAAGGTAAGACAAGACGAAGAGGCGAGTACCAACACAAAAGTAGAGTGCACCCCAAAGACGCGGGACATTGAGGCACCATGGCAGACTTCGAGGCGCAGGTGCTAGCGGTCAAGGGCCTCTTCGATGCAGGCCCATCGTGGATGCCAGTTGTTCCTCCCATGGGCAGTGCCAGCCGTGGTGCTGCTGTCTGCAGCGTTGATTAGTTTTCGCCGGGCATTTCGTTGCATTGATCGTGCTGGGCTTTTGTGTCATAAAGTTTGCTTGCAGCAGTAACGTTTTCCAAGTAGTATCGCTGCAAGAAAGCGCTGGTACGAGCAAGCGCAAACACTGCAGTGGCGCTGCTCTACATACACAAGCTAAAAAAACATCACGTTTGCTAGCAGCAGTAGTACAGCAATGGTGCACGTAGTTTCATACACAAGCTAAAAAAACAGCACGTTTGCTAGCAGCAGTAGTACAGCAATGGTGCACGTAGTGTAAGAGCCATGGTAACAACAATTGCACACAAAATAAGCTTTGGTGTTTGTAAAGTCCAGTAGCAGTGCATAGCAATCAAGTCATGGGGATGATGCTTCAGCCTACAAGCATTACTGCCACTGCTACTGCTGCGGCTACCACTATTGTTGCTGCTGCGGCACTGCTGCTGCTACTCGTGCTGCTGATGCTGCTTTGCTGCACCACTACTACCACTACTACCATACTGCTGCTGCTACTACT